AGGACCAGGGTTAAAAGTGTATGTAGGCACATAACCAAAAGATCCTATCAAACTGACTGGTTGGCACCAACTATCCTGCACTATATCCAGCTTGCACAATATAACTCTAGGTAATCTGCAATAGGTATGGGCATAAGGAGTATCATGAATTGTGATATTATTTGGGCCACTAGCCTAGTACTAGGATCGGATGCGTTTATTTACAAACTACCTAAAGTACCAGAGTGAAGAAACCCCAATGACCAAAGGCCACAAAGATAATTCCAGTCCACAGGAAATCAGTACAGTGCCAACCCAGTTTGCCACTGCAGGTCAGCGCATAAAACTCAACCGTAAGAGCGGCGCTCTGGGAGGGATTGATTGTATCTACCGGTAAACTCTGATGGTTACTTCTTTGTCGGAAAGGTTTTTTCTCGTTTTCGAGCTCTGTTTCCTGGTCTCGAAGATTGGGAAAAATAAAGTTGTCTAGGTGGTGGTCGACGGTATTTCCGAATGGCAGCAGTACATCTGTCCTACAAGAACAAGCACCATGTACTTTGAGATGCCCATTCCTTCGTGTCTTTTTACGACATGCAGCGATGTGGCTCACCATACAAATTGCAGAAGCTAACTGCAAGCGTCGGCTGGCGGTGCAAAATTGATCCAAAAGGCAGTGGAGTATATCGTTCTTCATTAAAATTGTGTCCACCATGATATCGTCGTGGGCCTAACATGTTGTGATTACTAGGAGCAGACGAAGGGATTTGGTGCCATCGGATCCGCAACAAGTTTGCAGAGTACACAAAAGAAAATTTATGTTTAGGATCGCATAGAGGTCGCTCAGACGTGTTTGTGACCAAGTCCCGAGGAAAGCCGAGCGCGGGACCAAGGAAAGAACTGGCAGATACCTAGATATATCAGCTTCGGCTTTTACAACCACTATTAATGTACATACAGTAGCTCTGGTCTAGGATCAAAGAATGATATACTTGGGATGTGTAAGTGGTGGTTTCCCCTTTGCTCTTGTTAAAAAGTGGATTGAACCCAGGACCATATTTTTGTCTTGTTTGTGCGTATGACGGACGTGTTGGGGACCAAGGCGGGTTCACAGAAGAATAGTGTAGAAGTCCCAATAATTGCGATCCTATTGAACCCACGACCATGGTTATATATCTTGGATGAACGAAGTATTAAGCGCCAAGTGCACCCCGAAAACGACAACTTCGGGACAACTCGCTGGTACCTGGAAAAGAGCGAATTGAACACTGGACCATATTGTTAGGCCTTAGACCCTCCAAAGTGTGTTAGACAAAGTATTATTACACTGTATAGGGGGGGGTACTCACGATCAAACGTCTTATACAAAAAGTAGGTTACCACTCCGGATTAGTGGGAGTGATGCGGAAAAAGAGTTTGAGAATTTTCCATGAGAAACCGTGGTAAAATCCCAGTGACAGCAGACGGGGCAGAATCATCTGAAGTCTCAACTGGAGTGGACCTGGTGGAGAAGAAGATATAGCTGAGGACGAGCAGGAGTGGAGGGCCCCATGACCCACCGAAGCTGAGTGGGTAGTTGGATCCGGAGTAGATGCCATCATGATATGATGTCGATGGAGAGAATATTGAATCAAGTACCAGAAGAACCAGAGGTCGATCGTTGGTATCTAGCGGATTAAACCCAGGACCATATTTCAAGTATATAGAGCCTGGAAATATCATATTAGCATATCACATAAGTCTATACGCAGAGAAATACATACGCAAGATATCTTAGGAATACAGCAGGAGGAGCCGCACCTTAACGCAAGCGGTTCTGCTGACCGAATCTGACTCCCAAGGCTCCTGTGGTAGATAACCATCCTCGGAGGTCTCTTGGATCAAAATTGGGCTTTCACTGGGAACCGCTCCACAGCACCAATGAGTTGGGATCCGAGCAAGGCTCCTTGAATAGTTGACATCTCACAGTTAAGTAGGTCTATGTATCGGTCCCTAGGCTTAGTAAATAACGAATAAGAATGACAAGAAAGCAAGTAGCTTACTGAACCACCTGCAAATTCAAGGACCAAGCTTGCCCAGACAATATTATGTCACCCAGGTTCTCCAAACAGCTCCTAGGAATGAGATATTAGCCGATGACTCGGTACTTATTTAAGTTTTCATCATGTGCATACCTCATTTACTCCGCCAAATTCCGGGGACGAAGGCAACCAAAATCATCGCTGCACCTCCAGCGATTGGGGGGACACTACCATCGTCATGAGGTTCAAGTCAAGCCTATGGAGAGCTAAAACCATCTGGCTGATCATGATACTTTGGAGTCCTAGAGCGATAAGCCCCCACTAATATTGGAGGTCGGCAGACTGCTATCAAAAGCCTCGGATGATAAACACAGAGGCTGCAATCCTCTGCAATTCGATAACGTGTTGAAGCCTGCTCAAAGAAGATGGTAAACATAATGCCTTGTTGGTAGGCTGGATGGTTAGGAGGACCTAGGTTTATCCTATCGTAGCTCCTACTGTGGTGTCCCCGATAGAACGTGTGTGGTGACCCTGGAGATGGCTCGAAGAAAACGAGGAGGAAGCAGTACTTATCCTCAGTTTCATGGCAGATCATGGTCTGGTAACAGAGTGTACGACGTGTGCAAGTAAAAGAAGGCATTGCCTACTACAAGGTTGTTTCTATTGTGCCGTTCTAGTGCCATATGGCCACGCATGCGATGCCATTAATAAAGTTGCTCCTGTACTACTAGGAGACGGGGGTGCAGGTTCACAGGAGCGGCAGAATTTAGCTGCAGAACGCTCCTAGCACTCCCAGGACCTGTCTTTTCTTGGGGAGTTACGTACGTGTACCTACATGGCAGCTACGACTACGTGTAAGTATCCCCGCGTGACATTTACTTAGATTGAATGTACTACTAGGGTCATCAATTATCACCCGTGTCCGTTGATTCGGCTTTGTTTGATTGATTTATTGATTACCGTTATTTCTGATAGATAAGCAAAGTGGTGGGAGGAAAGCCAAGGAAAACTGGTGTTGTATGCATATTCCCGCGACTTAAGCCAATCAGCAAGCATCATTTCCATTATTTTCTACCACTAGCCTAGAAATCACGGTACCATTTGTAACAGTCACCCCATGGCAGTCCTTCTAATGTTTTAACAAACATTCCAACTGCCAAGAGCAGGGATCTGAAACAGCTCATCCGGTAAACTACAAAACACACAAAAGTTTGTGGTTGAACTATCATTGACCCTTAGTCGTTTTTATCACTGTTCCTACCAATCATAGAACTATTTACTACGAAAATTAATCATATCAATAATACATTATCAATCAGCTACCCGTATAAAAATTGCCCTTATAATTGAGCCTAGAATAGAGTAGAGTTGAATGCATAAGAAGGATGTTATGCGCAATTAATCCAATGCAGCATCGATCGTCAGCCACCAAGACCAGACCAAGCCACCATTTCTACTACTAAAACAGCTGACCCCGCCGTTGCCCGCATCTGCACTCTCAACCTCCGGCAACAACTTAGATCAAACCCTTTACATCGGCAGAACCTCACAAAGGCAGTGCATAGCTTCCTCAACTTTCCCAATTCGCACAATGGAGCCTCCAATCCTCGTTATCGCAACAGACAACAACTACTTCAACACCATGCCCTTCGAGCAAGAAGGTTACATCACCACGCACATCCCCCACGCCACCCAGCGCGACCTCGAAGACGCAGCCGATAGCATCGAGCCTCACCTGAAGTATGCCATCATTGCCTTTGGCACGGCTGCAACACACGCACTCTCACTGGCCACCTCCAGCATTCACTCCCTCGCCTGCGTAATCGCCTACTATCCACCTACTCTCCCCCCCTCCTTCAAAGTGCATTCCACCATCCAAGCCCTCATCCACCTCCCGATGGCCACACCCTTCTCACCCGCCAGCAAACCCCCGCATGTCCTCATAAGATCCTACCAATCCCCCCCCGGATTCGCCGAGTCCTCATCCCCCGCCTACGACGCCAACGCTTCTAGCATCGCCTACACCCGCACGCTTGAGCTCCTCCGCCGTACCATCGGCCCTATTGTCGACAATGACGACGTCTGGGAGCGTCATCTAATCGCTCAGTTTGTCGAGCGGGACGCTGACAAGGCGCTGTCCACAATGATTGACGAGCCGTACGTGACTCACGTTCCGACGGGAGCGGGAGGCATTGGGTATAAGGAGTTGCACGCCTTCTACACCGAGCACTTCATACCGCGGAACCCGCCGAGCCTACGCATGAAGCCCCTGTCGAGGACAGTGGGCGCTGAGAGGGTGGTTGATGAGCTGATTGCGACCTTTAGGCATGATCAGGTTGTGGACTGGATGTTGCCGGGGGTGCCACCGACGGGGAAGGAGGTGGAAGTGGCACTGGTCGTTGTTGCCCGGCTACGTGGGGGGAAGCTTGTGAGTGAGCATATCTACTGGTGAGGCCCGTTATATTCCTCTTACTACATAAATAAGGAGGGCTAATTTCAATAGGGATCAAGCTACAGTGCTTGTACAGATCGGCCTGCTCGATCCGAAGTTGCTGCCAGTTATGGGAGCGGAATCAGCAAGGAAGGTGCGGGATAAAGATTCGCTCAAAAATAATCTCTTAATTCCTGAGTGGAAGGCGCCGAAATAAGGTGTCCATATCATTTATTTTGTTCTACAGGTTTGCTATTATAGATTTTCTAGGGAGTGATAATGTCATGATACCAAATGAATCAATAAGTTTCTAGTAGAGTACTAATCAGAATAGGAGGCTCTTGTGGTTGGTAAACAGTGATATAATTGAAATGACAACATATTTCATGAATAAATCTCGATCAAAGCGCGATTCAAGTGCATTCATGTATAAGGCTTTAGCACTATAAAACAAAACAGTAGCAAAAAACCACTACAGCGGCTCCCAAAGCAAAAAGAAAAAAACGCACTATATAATACTCAACAAAACCTAAAAGCAACCGCTTTCCAGAGGAAAGTGAGAATATAATTTGAGCCCGATGCGGGGGTCGAACCCGCGACATTGAGGTGCCGATAAAAGCCACACGCTCTACCACTGAGCTAACCGGGCGATGTCTGCGAATCTGTGCACGGCACAAATAAACTTATTTTATTGAGTTTGAGAGGCAACCGGAGACCGGGGTCAGCCGGTCTAATAATCTCTGCCAAGGCTTTAAAGTTTCGGACAGGGATTACTTTTAGGCAGCGTGAATGCAGGCACACGACGTCGAGCTTTGGGATGTAGTCTGGGCACTCTCTGGTTATACACGTTGATATGTCGCTGAGACAAGACCTCGAGAGTTGACATTGACCTACTTGGAAGTGTGTTTTAAGGATCGACTACTTTATTTCCTGCTCCTGTTTTATATAGAGCTTGCACTATGAGGGGTAAGAACATAAGTACATCCTAGAGTTACTCTACCAATACATCAACAATGCAAAGGTTCTGATAGCTAGGGTTGTGGTTGTATGGGCCGGCCTGGGCTTCAGCCTGCCAGGCCAGGCTTGGGCGGGGGCGTCCGGTGTTGCGCCATGGTCGGGCTTGGTCCTAAGAGGATTTCGGCTCAGGCTTTATGGGCGGTTTATATGGGCTGAAACAGGTGTGTATTTTAACACATCCATCAAATTCCATATTGCGTTTGGCTCCTTAGAAAAACATCTTCGAATAGTAAGAAATTTTAGCACAAATAAGCGACCGCATACATATACTTCAGAACTATATGAGTTAACGAAAAGTCCGGGCTTAAGCCTTTTTATATGGGCTGGGCCCTGGTTTTGTTTGGTCGACTCGAGCCAGTCCAGGCTGGCCATCAAAACCACCGCGTATCCACAGAAGAATACTGGGCCCAAGACAGCATATAAAGTTTGTGTACATGTATGTGCCATCCACAAAAAATGGTCACAAAACTTAGATATTAGCAAGCCAGACGTTTATACTAAGTTTAGAGGCAACTCGAGTTAGGAAGTTCTTTAGAAGAAACCACAAGTTGTGGGAATTTCCAGTAAATTTAGTATTCTTATAAAATCAAACCAACAAGGATTGCCACTGTTGTTACAAGATTTGGCTTCACTCGCCTTGGCATTCCCATGCCTTTGCTCCTTCGAGCACCACCTTTTTAACTCTGTCCCCCGTGTTTTTTTTTCTTTTCTTTAAGTTAATAGCTATTGTTTTCTCCTTTTTATCCTGACCAGAAACTTCCACTATCCACAACCCGCTCATCTAGATGATAGAGCCATCTATGTTCTTCATAGAAACTTCGCCCATTTTAACCACGCGCCATTCGTCGCTGCTGTATCCGCTGTCATCGGTTTCTTTCTTGCTCTCTTCGAGAACCTCTGCGTAAAACGGGAATCCCAACAGATCTTCGAATTGCCAGATTCCGTCATATGAAATGAGCTCGTCCTTTGGTGCACATGGCCATAACCACACCTCCTCTCCCCACCCCAAATCGTTGACTACAATCCCATTATCAATGGCGCATTGATATGAAATTGGGCTTCCCTTTACGAGAATCCCATTAACCCAATTGATAGGCATCAAGCAGAATCTCTCAGCTTCCGCCTTGATCCCAGAAATCTTCCTGAATACGTCTTTGATAGTCGCATCATCACATACCGTCAATGACATATATTCTCGCGCCTCCGACGAGTCAGAGTGAAGGTCAAATTTCAACCACAAATTGACCACACAGTGCCCATGGCTTTGGCAGGGAAGGTAATGACAACCCAGACGAGGAGCATGAATTGCCGCAAACGCCTCGATAATGCGTAGAGTCTTGTTGGTGATAGGCACGAGCTGTCCCCCACCAGTGAAGTGGTGTGAGTGAATTTGGATCCCGGGAGGGTTCCCAGGATTGTCGCTAATCCAAACCCACTGTGCAATTCCATTATCTACATACAGAGCATAACGGTAGCCGCGGTCGGGCCATTCAACGATGACACGGGGGAGAGCCGCGTCCTTAACTCTCATAATAAAAAGTGACCTCGAGAGGGCTTCATCAAGAATTTTTGCTTGCTGTTCTCGCCAGACTTTTTCTAGAGCTGGGCTCCAATCTTCGTAGCCGAAAGGACCGATGACCATAGTAAGCATTGGACACATGGTGTCGGGGTGGGGACGGACGCGGACATGCATGATCTTTATTCGGATTGAGGGTTCTGCTTTGATAAAGGATTACCAGCACTGGAGGAATAGAAGTATGTTGGGAGAAATTGATGAAGAAATTGGGGAGAACCGTGTTTTGCTTCGGTACATGTATTTATATACATGTATTTCACTTAGTATGATACATGTAGATTTTCTATATGACGCGTGACGTCCGGCCGAGGACAGCGCACCTCTAGTGGCAGAGATGGATAGAATGCTTAATTACATCAGCGCCTACCAGTGTCCTAAACTACATGTAGGGTAAAGCCCCAAAGAAAATCTTTTTATTTCTATTGAGCTTACAGTTTCTATTGTAGTTTCTGTTAATTTTTACACTTGTATGTATTCTATCTCCAGTTATCGCGCTAAAGATTCTATGCACAATGCCGGAAGAGAAATAGAAAAATAGTATCTCCTCGGCTTCTTTCATGTCAATAAATAGACATATATATGCGTCGCCTTATAGCAATGAATACTGCAATAATCGTCGTGCACAGCAAAATTGGTCCCAACGATACGTATATACACTCCTTTTCAACATCAATACCAAAAGTTATTTCATCTAACATGGATGCCCACACCAACATCGCAAAGCATGAAACATGCCCTCTGCCCATTGAACCACCCACCATTACATCACTCACAAGACCTAACAAAATATGGGCCCTCAAAACGCTCACCCTGACACTCGAACGGTACAAACCAACATACAGCAATGTCCTCATCTCTCTCCTGACGTCTATACTCAAATACCTACAAGAAATACAAAGTGTATCCCCGCGCTTCGCATTACAAATCTGCTCCGCCGTACCAATAAATACATGGACATCGGTGTCTTTATACGACTGTCGTATTACCATAAGCCTCGGTGAAGAACTCCCCGCGCCTATTCTCGAACCCGACGAGGCCCACCACACCGCGAGGGAAAGGATGTACCAGGTACTAGTGGGCGATCGCTTGAGCAATCCCGAAGATTCAATGACGATAAGCGAGCTCAAAGCCCTGGGAATCAGAGGCCTGCACCGGAAGAGGGTTTTAATGAGAAGATTACGATGGGTAAGGCACTATGAACAAAAACTGGGCTACACGGAAAGGGAGGAACTCGAATGGCCCTTATTAAAGGCTTTAGAGGAAGTATTTCAAAGGGAACTGGATAGCATCGACACTTTGCTCGCAAAAGTTGCTGATGCGACGGGAGTGGGGAGGTGGGTTTATTGGCTGCGCTAGGAGTAAAGTTTTTGCTTGGTGGTGCTTCTAAACAGACTTTAAATTTGTGCATTTGGGAATTCAAGATAGCATTCCTTATTTCACAGATTATTTTTTCTCCCCTTACGAGCCTGCGGACATATTGAGTCCTTTTATAAGCAGCTAATTGTACTTTATGTCATGGTATCCAGATGCCATCTCGTTTCTAATTGACTTCAGAGGAAATAATAAGAGATTTCTTCTCTGTTGGCGTATACGTACTCGTGTTGTTATATACATACATATGCGTAAGTCTGATTCTGTACGCTTTCATCCAACCACGAACTTGCGCTCCAAGAGTACATGTAATACCAATGCAATTCTACGAATACTTATATACAAAAACCTCTCAAATGTACCATCTAGCAGCGACACAAGCAAGGCAAATAGAATCAATTTTTCCGCTTGAATATGATATTTCCTGTCATGCCCCACCTAAACGCTAGATATTTGGGTTCATTAAACGGAGTCTCACTTAATAAAAGGTCGTTTAGGATACGATGGTCATGATTAGAGTTATATTACATGTAGTGCGTGCATTTCACATGAAATTCACATGACACTCACATGACACTCACATGACACTCACATGACACTCACACTTGTGCCGTGGATGTACTATATGTATTCATGACGTACATCAAGATAGGATTCAACTCACTGCGATTACTAATAGGCTCAATAAATTTACGTCGTCTAGTATCGTCAGTGTCCTTCGTAACATTACTCCAGCTTCCCCTAGTTCCTATTTCTATTCGTCCACTAGAGACGTACTCACCGCCTATTTCACAAGAATTATATTATCAGGTTATCCGAATCTTTTTATACCGCACAAAATTAACTGGGCACATTGGATGAAACTAAAACGATTCACCAGCTCCATTGAGAGATACTACTAGCCCTGAATGTGGCACTTTATTAGTATCCCTTGGACGGATGAAACTGTCAAATTCGCAGCTTGCCTGTTTGAGCTAATACTAGCCCAAGCTGGTATCTAACACTTATTTTTGATTGGCTCTATGGCTATTCTCAACCATTAAGAGCAACGGATATACCAACCCAGTGCGTGCACGGTCCAGGCTGCGAATTTGACAATTTCATCCGTCCAAGGGATAGTCGTCCCGTTGTCACGTGCGGTAGGTGGTTTAGTTTCGTCGAATATACCCGCTTTTTGCGGCACACATATGCCTGGTTCTTTTCTGTCATGGGCTTACGGAATACATATCAAGCCTCGGAAAGAACTGTATTATCTACGTCGAGAAAATTTGTTTTTAGACACCATAACCAATCACCAAGCTGACCTACATGTATTTGCCTCGTGCCAGAATTCTTGTCTAGATACGAGGCTAATAAAACTTGGAGAATGTTTACACCCGCTCCATCCACAATATGGATGAGATTACACAAGTAACCGCGAGGCGTCCAGGGTATAGTCTTAAGCTAAGAAAAGTATTCCCCTGCAGAGTATTCTAGCCCGACCCCGGAACAGGATTTCTCTTACTTCTTATAGTGACCCTCACACTATTCGGTCCCTACTGTATCCTTATGTCGAGTCGCCTGTACCTATGCAAGTAAACTTCAGATGATTTTGATTATCTCTAGCCGCTTGATGCCCCTGTAGATACATGTAAGTCCTCTTCTGAGCGTTTAGGCATATATATAATACAAGTACATACAGTGCG